TAGTAGATGACAGTCCCAGAGGTTATATCAATAGGTGCTTATTCTTCATGTGGACATGCTCTGCCTCCTGGAATGTAGAAGAGTTCCTTTACTGATGTTACCAGTACGAGTGACCTTTTAGTTATATACTGTCTTATTGATTCCCCATCTATTGTTTTTCTTAGCTATTCCATTCTGCAATTCATTTTCCAACAGTCTCATTCCCTTTAAATGTCAATGAAAACTTCCCATGTTTGCTGTTTTTGCTTTACTAGTACAGAGGACATTAATATCCTGCCAATACACTTGCACCAGATTTGATAGAGGCTTCTCTTTCGAACATGTCAACTTTCTTGGTCAGCTCAACCCCTGCATGACCTGATACATACATCCAGGTGGTGGAACGTTGCAGATGCTCTGATATTCTGAATGTATGAACGTCTTCCTGAGTGTTAGCCACAAACATTATGTTAGTGTCACTTTATATTTGCAGTAATCCAAAGAAAGGTGATTTATGGTTTGTAGTTGTGCTACTTGTAGGAAGCTTGAATGATCTTTGTTGTTGTTTTTTGAGACAATGGATGCACAATTAGCTCTATAGTTATTTGCTGAGTATGGCTATGATAGCAGATGATTGTAGATCGTGGTCTTTAAAACAAGTGTTGACAAGCTTTTCCTACTTAGTGTTATGCCAAAATTTTTATAACCTAATTTCTACATGCCCAGTGGCGTCAAATATTTATTCCACAAAGAATGTCTTAGATCTGGTGCTGACCAATTATCTCAGTTGTGACTAAATAGCACAAGTCCTCCTATGATAGTTTCCTGGAGCAGTTGGTGATGGTATATTCTTGTCAGTATGTTTTTTTTTCTTTTCGAATGTGGAGAACATGTTTGTGGCATTGACAGGATTGATGACTATTACTGTGTGACTCCACCATTTGCTAACCTTGTCACATCTTTCTTTCAATTTCAGCTTCTGCTATATACCTGAATGTCATCAGTGAAGGCTAGTGTACTGCATCTGGTTGAACTGTCAAAGCTGGCTAGATCCATGGCATAGATATTGAAAAGAACTTGCAAGAGTGATGATCCTTGAGGAAAACCAGTATTGGTTGTGAACCAGCCTGATCTGATTGCTTACTTCCATGCTTAAAGGTGCTATTACTCGTCTTTTACATGTTACAATGTTGCCTATTCTGAGCATTTCGTCTGCAATGATGGGCAGATGAACTTTAGTATAGGCGTCTTCTACACCCAAATCTATTTTCAATGTGTTTTGACTAACTTCAATGCACCTTCCTATGTAGCTGCTGAGAAATTAGCGGCATTGATTCAGGTTTCTCTTTCACCATGATAACAACCTAATGATGAGATTAGGAGTGATTCAATCTGATAGGCAAGGCTTCTAACTACAGTATTCCATGGGATATTGCAAATGATTTTCGTAGGATAATGATTCAGTTGTCTCTAAGATGAGAACATTCATTCATTGAGTTGGGTAAGGATTTAATAAGGTATTAGTCCATATCTCAGGGATGCTGTCTGTTGCCCAGTTATTTGATACTCTAATGATATATTCAGCAGTTAGGTTTCTGTAAGCTTCTTAATGTTAAAAGCTTCTTACACCATCTGGACTTGAAGCTCCATTTTTAAATGCATTCATAGATCTGTGTATCTTGACCAAACTAAATATGATTTATATATCTGTGAGTAGTTGATGCTGTAGCAGTAATTTCATCTTTCGTGTCACTGTGGTTAATGTCTCGGCACATAAAGACATTGTTTTAATTCTGTATGGAGTGGGGGTGTTTTCGTCACTGTAGATGAAATACATCACTATGTTTTCATTTCCTGTACCAACCATAAGTTTGTGAAAGAGCCAAAATGAAGTACGTATGAGATTTGCCTTTCTGTACAGTTTATTCAATTTCATTTTCTTGTGCTTTGGAAGCTAAATGTCTGTAGAGAGCAAAGGCTTTATTTCATGCAATCCTAACCTTTTCTCTTCCAGTTGGGCTATGCCTTAACTGCACAAACTCAGCTTGGGCTTGACTGTGTTCTCTCCAGCCTTTATCAATACCAGTGTTCCAGCAGTACGGGACTTTTTCCTAAGTTGTTGCCTTAAATTCGCTTGATGGAGAGATTATTGATGGTACAACATTGTCAGAAAGCTTTTCAGCCTTAGATGCGTTTCTATGTTGTTTTATAAGACAATGTCTTCCAAGGCTTCACATTCACCTCAAACATAAGGTGATCACTATAGATGTTATGTCAGACAGAGATAGCACTCAAGGTATGGTTAGCAAAAGCAAGGTTTATAAAAGTCTCTGGCCTCCTGGTATTCAGTAATTCTCATTTTTCACTTGAGTTTAGCAGTATAAGCTCGGTTATATACTTTGGAGAACAAAATATAAATATTTCCTACCAATGTTTTATCAACATTCCAAGTGTAGTGTCGGACATGCATCGATGTCTCCAATCATTGGATACATAAGAGTGTTGTCAAACATGTCAAGCATTGTTCCTAGTAAGTTTCTTAACCAATTGTTGAAAAACTATCCTTTACAGTTTCTACAATCCTGCCTCCTTCATGATTTGATTCGAACATATTCCAAACAATTTCCAACCAGACGACTTCTCCTCTTATAATCATTCACAGAAACACGAATAGATACAGCATCACTGCTATTACTTTGATATCTTTAACTTGAACTGGCTCTGGCTCACATTTTACATATAAAGCTACTCCTCCTTTTTTAGCACCCTATCCCTCTTAAACAACCTACAACATTGTATTTCAAAACATTTCTCCCATCAAAATTGTTTTTATTTATCCATGTTTCAGTTATTCCCATTGTACCAAAAGTCTCTGTTCCAACCAGTGCTCTAAAGACATCCATTTTATTTCGTATACTTCTAGAATTACAATAATAACAGTTTAGCCTACCAATATAACTACTTTTGTACCTTGTTCCCACACTATACCCGTCTCTACATCATAGTTTTCAATCATTATTCTAACAATCTCCACTGTCTAATCCTGGTTTAAATTTGCCCTTACAGTTGAACTAATAGCCATTGCAAACAAGCTAGCCCTACCCTATTTAAATGTATACATCCATTCCAAAAGGCTCCTTTTACCCACTAAACTAATCCCAAAATTCCAAACAGGCAACCCACCCTTACACTAGCATCCAACTCTAGTGACCTATTTATAATTTTATTCCCACTCTTAAGTGTGGGCTGTATCTCTGACAAAATTAAGTTATTCTGGTACTTTTATTTTAATAGCTTTATTAGTGCCTTGTATTTAACAACAAGGGCCTCTGACCTCCACTCCCCTACATCATTAGCCACTGCAAATACTGCATCACTACAAGAACCCTTTACCATATCACTTGCTTTGTCGGTTATATCCTCCACCCCAACATCTAGATAACATAATGTAATTCATTTCTCTCTATTTACTCCACAGACTATCCTATCCATGTGCCATACTAAAGAATCTTCTATAACAAAATCTCCTTGAGTTTTTCATTCCCATCCCTATCTGTCCCTTTTATTATCCTTCCAGCCTCAAGTTTATCATCCGCACAAGATAAAGGCTGAAATATGGTGCTCAATAGAATAGACTCATTACAAATAAATCCACTATTTTTTAACCGTAATAGTACTCTTTTTTATTTCCTGGAAGTCATTGTTAGCTGATGTATCTCTTAGCTGTAAAAGTTTAAGCTCCTCTTGAAATTCTGTTGCTATTTCCCACAGTCTACACTGAACCTGCTTGTTATAATAAAATCCACCACTAATAGCCCGATTAGCATTGTTTTTAACTACCTGAAAGCCATTATTTGTCACTATATCCTTCCCATGAAAATGCTTAATTTCCTCTTTAAATCCTGTTGGCATTTGTTTTAGGAAGGTTGTAGTTTGTAATTATACCACAACAGTCAATGAAGCTTATTGTTCGTTAGGCCCACCTGAAACTCAAATTCGGCTCTAGAAGGTCTGCTCTAGAAAAAAAAACTGAAAGCAGTGAATTACAGTGATGATTTGTGATACCAGAAATGGAAAATATCGAAACTGTAAAAAAAAAAGGATGAAAAACGGAGAAAGAAGAATGGTTCTCAGACTATGCCCTACCATGCAAAATACATAGCAAAAACTACCAGTTGGGTGCCAATAGCTAGTTGGTATATCAATAGACAGATTTTTTTTTTCCTTTCATATTAAACATCAGACATGTAAAAATAGATTTCAGATCTATCTTTTCTGCCTCACGAGAGCTGCTCAAGAGCTGGAAATAGCCTATCTCGGTCACAAAGGAAAAGCATGGCGTCAATGCAGCTTAAAGAGCAGACTGTGTATAATAAATAATTAAAAATATGTGACATAACGAGATAAGTTACGTGCTAGAGTAAAACAAAAAATGTGGCAAAGGCGATATAACAATGACATTATCGTGGCAGAGGTTGGACCATTTGAATGGTAACTAACATCTAAAGTGTATTGGTCAATCATACCAATCCAAAACATGGTCCATTTCCAATGTGATGAACAAAGTTTCTTCACATATAACAAAAACAGAATTTTCCATACTCCTCTTATCTGAAATTTATTCAAACACATAAAAACAATTTGTGGTAAACTTCTTAATTAACAAAGTCAAAAAATCTCCACCCATTTCAATATCACTGGGGATGAATTTAAAAACCGCAATGACCATCAAAAAACCTTTGCCATTAACCTAACTGCATACTGTTACCTATAATAAATGGTTCATATCGAACGAGATATCCTTCAGAGTCAATGTTCATCGTGATGAAAGAGGGTCAAAGTAAAGTGGGTAATAAGACTATCACAAAACTATTTATGATAAAACTTTATAAAACATTAATCTATGCAAATTAATCTAACGCTATATGAAATAACTACACAAAAAATGTCACAACAGAATCTCATTAAATCACACTTTATCTTGGATGAAAGAAGATTTTTATGGAGTAATTTTTAAATACTTTATTTGTCCAAGTGTATGTAGACCTTGGATTGGCCATGGCGTCACACCTCAGGATGGCAGAACTTCCTTGGTCATAAGTGTACTCCTCGTAGTAACGACGAAAATGAGGTGGATCTGGTAAGAAAAACATTACAGTTTCATATTGTATTCCTTTTGATACAGAATTGTAAAATTATCATTTACTTACTTAGTATTGTTTACTTCATAGTATAAACAAAATACATTTCTCTAAACAATTCTCCAAAAATCAAACAAACAAATACTTTTTTATCAACACTATTAAGTAGCACTAATATAAAATACTCGTGCTCTGGTGTAAGGTTCAAAGGCCCTCATGATTCCCAGAACTGATAAAGCTTTTAACGCTACCCCAAGGAGTGAATGCTTGAAGAAACGTTAGGACACCGCTCCTGATATTTGAGAACATGTGCCAAGTTTACTCCTGATTGTTTGTGTGTGAGGGTATGAAGACAGTTTTATAATGCCCCCCCTAGGATTATGAGAGAGGGTCACAAAATACGATGCCATATCCCTAGGTGATCTCCCAGGCACAGGCCCGTTTTAGCCCCCACCCCTTAGTAGAAGGGCTACGTTATAGAGCAAAGACACCCCCAAGTCACCCAGGTTTCGACTGTCAAGTTTCGTCCTGCTAACTCCGAACCTATGGGAGGGAGTAGCTGGATAATGATACATGCATACAAAGATATAAACTGAATGAGTGTAGGATATGGCTGTCCACATGAGTGATCCGATGTAATTTCATTACTGTAAACAGTATTTCTAATCTTTTTTCTAGCAAAACATTGACATATGCTGGCACTAAATAGTAACAAATAATTAGCAATGAAAGAACCATAAGGGAAAAATATACATACCTTTTGTTACAGAGTGTTCATTTAAAAAAAAATCACTATAAGTATATTTAGTACACATTAAACTTTAACAGAGATTCGCCATTTTCTTATTCCTGAAAAGGCACTTTTTGTGACCACAGAGTGTGATTAACAAAAGTTTGAAAACAAATTAAAAACGAAACAAAAGACTTACAATAAACAGAGACAGAGATGTTTCTAAAAACAGATTTTCCAGTATTCTCCTCATGTCCGGTTACATAATAAATCCCTTCATCTAATAACTCAACCTCTGAGATGGTTAGGCCTATTTCATTAACCAGATGGCGGGTTGAGTTCCTGAGTGATGAATTGTTAAAAGTCCACTCAAGGTAATTAGTTCCGTTGATACGACAATGGATCGTAGAAGTTTTTCCTTTTACAAGAAACTGCTCACTTGGACAATGATAAGGGTGTTCTGAAACACAAATAAAAACAGTTGTTTTGAGAGAATGTTAAGTTTTGTTTTTGATTGAAGTTGTGTTTTGAAATATTGTTTTTAAAATATAATGATTAAAGATCATCAAGTGTATTCGCCCTTTTTTTTTTCATGAGGGTTTAAATTGTATATAGAACAGTACAAGATTTCTGATGGCCGTGGTGGCCATATAATGCTGTGTCATCTTTCTTAATCTATTTTTGTTTTTATTTCCTGCTATTAACACGTGTAATTATCTTTATCTAATTGTAAAGGTCTGTCGCTGTTTTCTTTCATTCTTTGCTTTTTTTCTACCTTTTCACATTTTCCTTTCTTTATTTTTTTCATACACAATTTATCAGGTGAGATATGAACATATCTTGTAGTTTTGACAATCTTCTGGGTATTTGTACACATTATTAAGAAAATGTGAAAAGAATATGCAACACTCGAAAATATCTGAATTGATCAGGCTTTTTTTTCTAGGTTTTGTTTCTTTTCAAAAATTGCTATAAGCAAATCCAGTCCTAATGTATTGAGTTTTTGTTAAACACATGAAGACCTTTATGGGATGTCTCATATGTTGTTTAAATGAAGACTTTGGCACATATTTCTGAGTTACCTTCGAAAGATAATTTGGTTGGATGCAAAAGGTCTCTGGTTCAATCCCCGGCGCCCCATGAGTACTTTTTAAATCTTAAATAGTTGAAGAGAAAGTACTTTCTTTTATCCTGCTCCAGAGAGGTAAGTTTTGAAGATTCAAAGGTAAGTTCTTTTTCAAGAAAACAATCTACAACTTTAGTCTTCAAGGAAAAAAAGTGTTTAAAACCTTACATTACAGATAATCAGCCCCCCAGTGGCACAGCGGTATGTCTGCGGACTTGCAACGCTAGAAACCGGGTTTCGATACCCGTGGTGGGCA